ACGTTTGATTGAAAAAAAAAACACTGATATATTTGTTTATAGTAAATTGTTATCCATTGTATTTATCAACCTAGTAATATGTCTAACTAAAAAACATAATATTTCGCTTTTGGTTCTTAATGTCATCTTTTACGATTTATTCGAAATTGAATTAACGATTTGCAGTTTCAATATAGTGCTTTTCCCTTCTCTTAAACGACTGAATATCCGATCATATACGGTATATATGCTATGTCTTGGCAAGGTACCAGGGTACACGTCATGAACTCGCATATACAACGTGTATACTTCCCGCTGTTAAGCACCATTCGTCATCTTTTCTTTGGATTGGAACCCATCCTCTCACAAAGTTAATATTTTACATGTCGGATGTTTATTGCGTTGGCATAGCAATATATAGTGATATAATCCTGAATAGGTAACTATATGACGTAAAATCATAAATCACTTCTCTCAGTTGAATTCACAAACGCCCTTTTTGAGTGTAAAGACATGTTTCAAAAGCTTCTTAAATTGCTTCACATTTTACATGAAGTCAGTGTCCAAATCAGCGTACGCGGACAGTGATTAACAATACACAATAACAGTGTCTATATTTGACAGGTTTGAAAAATGCGACTTTCCCATCGGGACATACTGTCTCATCCGTGAGATGTGTGCTCCAAAGAAGGCTGCAGTTCAGTGCATGTAGTACTGTTTCTTATGCAATGGTATGAGAGTTTGGGTACTGTGGAATATTTATTTAGTGGTGTTCAAAATAAAAATGCCTCTGCTTCACACTTCGTCATTGAGGTCAAGAGCGCAACAGGTCCACTATAAACACCCGGACCTAAAATACGAAATGATTATAGAGAAGGCGCAGCACTGTTCAAAGAAGTGATCGCTTGAACATTCATCTAATCTCGTCTTCGTCCGTTTAATTCACATGCATGCTGTATTTAACTCGATGGTATCTTTAATACTTGTATCATATAATATATTATATAGCAGACCCTTGTCCTGAATTGAGGGCATAGTTATCATTTCCCTACAGTACTCTATAAATATGAAGTCTGGGGGGCGTAGGTAACCGGGCGTGTGTCAGACAAGCAGATTTGCATAGCTCATGTATGTGTACTAGTCTGCTACGGCGTAGTCAAGTGGTTTATAGGACACCGCTAGTTAATGTGCGTGTCTGGCAGGGGTATCCTGAACATCACATCAGAATGTGGTCTTTGTCAGTGTCATCCGTATCCCATTCGATTTACCTACCACAGTAAGTCGGATAATTCACTACAAAATTAAAATGTAGAAAAAGGGCGAAATAAACTTGTTGTTCATTAAAGAACTGAAGCTGATACGACAAACAAAGTTACTTTAACTAGACATTTTGAGCCAACCAATTATCCCCCTATCTAAGACAAATTTGTTTCAGAAAATATAAAACTCTTGCACTAGACTGGAAGTCATATCTTATCTGTTGAAAATAGTTCATGTGCTAACAAACAACCTCTGCTATACTAAATCGGCATAATTCAATTTATTTAATTTATATTGTGAGCAAACAAAGTTTCGAATAAGTAACTGATAATTTATAACATGTTATTTTTTATTATCTGCCCCTATATCTCGGCACACCTGAGACATCACCCAACTCGCCACCCACCTATATGATTCACATGCATTTGTTTTCTAGTTCAATTCAAGAAGGCCGAATTGCAGGCATTTTAATGTTTAACATGCGCATTCCTGTCAGACTACATTCATTGAATATGTACTTTGTCGAGTAGTGCTTCACAACAAATTACATCTCTATTTTCTAAATTATTTACTTTTT